ACCGCAGTCCCTGTGCTTTGCCAAGCTTGTTCTAAGTAGGTGCTTTAGACCACTGAGCCATCTCACCAGCCCCTAAAAAATTATTAAAAAATTTTATTTATTTATTTTTTTAAAAAATTTATTTATTTATTTATGTGTGTGTGTGTGTGTGTGGCCAGCTCAGCCCGCCTTGGGGGCGGGGCTGGCTGGCATGTGGTGCTGGGGAATTGAACCGCGGTCTATGTTCTTTGCTAAGCTTGGTCTAAGTAGGTGCTTTAGACCACTGAGCCATCTCACCAGCCCAACCTAAAATTTATTTGGAGCCAAAAAAGACCTAGAATAGCAAAGGCAATCCTGGTCAACAAAGACAAAGCAAGAGGCGTTACAATTCCTAACTTGAAATTATACTACAAAGATACTGTGATAAAATCAGCATGGTATTGGCAACAGAATAGACCTGAGGATCAATGGAATAGATTAGACGATGCAGAGGCCTCTAGGAACACACTCAGCCACATGATCTTCAACAAAGGGGCCAAACATACTTACTGGAAGAAAGATAGTTTCTTTAACAAATGTTGCTGGAAAAATTGGCTCTCTACATGCCGAAAACTAAAACTTGACCCAGATCTATCACCATGCACTAAAGTCAAAATGGATTAAAGACCTGAACATTAAAACAGAAACACTAAATCTCCTGGAAGAGAAAGGAGGAGGAACTCTTGAAGACAAAGGGATAGGCAAAGAGTTCATGAACAAAAATCAAATCGCACAGGAAATACTTGAAAGAATTAACAATTGGGACCACCTCTTATTGAGAACTTTTTGCATGTCAAAAGAAATTACCAACAAAGTGAAAAGACAACCCACAAATTTTGAAAAATCTTAATAATCACTCAGACAAAGGTCTGCTCTCTAGAATTTATAAAGAATTAAAAAAACATCAGGGCACCGAAATTTAAAGACCCAATCCAGAAATGGGCATCTCAGATGAACACACACTTCTCAGAGGACGAAATTAAAGAAGCGAAAAAATATATGAAAAAGTGCTCCACATCACTAGCCATCCGTGTGCAAATTAAAACAACACTGAGATACCATCTCACTCTAGAAAGAATGGCTATCATAAACAAATCAATGAATAACAAATGTTGGAGAGGCTGTGGGGAAAAGGGAATCCTTCTCTACTGCTGGTGGGAATGTAGACTGGTGCAACCGTTATGAAAATTAGTGTGGAGACTCCTTAAAAAACTAAGACTGGAAATCTCATTCAACCCAGCTATCCCCCTACTGGGAATTTTCCTAAAGGAACTGAAAACGTCATATCATAGTGATACATGCATACCTATGTTTATAGCAGCACAATTTGTGATAGCCAGATCTTGGAAACAACCAAGATGCCCGTCACATGAGGAATGGTTGAAAAAGATGTGGTATTTCTATACAATGGAATATTACTCAGCTATAAAGAATGATAAACTCGAATCCTTCGTATTTAAGAGGATGCCACTTGAAGATATACTTATAAGTAAAATAAACCAGACCCACATGTGCATTTCTTCCAAAATTAGAATGTGTAGTAGTAACAATGTTTATTTCTATCATAATATATCTTTGGATAGCCCATTAAAAATCAATGCTATAAGGACAGAGATGTAGTTCTGTGGATAGAATATCCTCAGCATATTTGAGGCCCTGGGTCCAATTCCTGCTAAACCTACATCTACTTTTTATTTTTTTATTTTTTTCAGTACTGGGATTGAATTCAGGACCCTGCGCTTACCAGGCAAGTGTTTATTCTACTGAGCTATCTCCCCAGGCCCCACACTGACTCTTAAGAGTTATAGAAGCTATAGAAGAACCCTAACATAGAAAATAATCGCTAGGTTTATGTTGAAGTTTTGAACATAACCAATGGTGAATAAACCACTTATTCCTCAAACTTACAGTTCCTCCGTCTGCAAGCCAATGACAGAAACTTCAGAGCAAAGAAAAGTTCAGATATCTTGATTTCAGGCAAATATTTTCCAGAAATATAACAAACACATTTCCACTGTCTAACCTGACAAGTTTGTGCTATTCTGACAGTCTTAGCACACACAAAAAAAATTAATTCAGCAATGCAATGCAATCATAGAAGTGATTCACAAAGGTGAAAAAACTAGTGGCTTGGGCACTAGAACCAGGCCTCCAAATCTAGATGTTTAAGGAAAGAAAATAAGTGGTAGGCACTACCCAAAACTAGGGGAGGGATACCTATCTGCTGAAAAAAATAATTAATGCAGGAGAAAAGCCTTCATAGAATTTTACAACAGGAAATTATCAAAAACAAAATGTCAGAAGCTATGGAACTACTTAGTCAGCTGTCAGTGCCTCTGACATCAAGCTATTTGCTCCTAATTCTCAAAATCACCCAACAAGATTTCCTTCTTTCCTTTTTTTTTTTTTTTTGGTTTGTATTTTAGGGAAGGGTCTACAGGGTGTTCAGGGTGTCACTACTAGATTGGACTTGTAGTGATCTGCCTGCGTACAGCTTCCCAAGAGCTGGGATTACAGGCACGCACCACCATGTCCAGTCTCAATTGCCATCTCAGTGTGCCCTGGGGGCAGGTTTGGCCTGGAAGGCCTGGGGATTGAACCCCAGGCCCCTGCACCTGCTTGCAGGTGCTTTAATCCACTGAGCTATTTGGCTGGCCCTGTCCAACAAGATTTCATATGCACAGAAGAATCCTGAAAAAGAGGAGCTCTACTCCAGAGCCACCAAGTAGTCTTTTGTTTTGTAAACAGGTTTCTCCTCCTAAGGATATGTCATTCTTGTGCTTGTCCATCAAGTGAGCAGAGACACAATAAACACTACAGACTATAAAGTGGACACTGAAACAGTTAAGAAAATGTAGGATGGAGCTGGGCATGGTGGAAAGTGCCCATAATCTCAGCACCAGGGCAGCTGAGGCAGGAGAACTGCCATAAGTTGGAGGCCAGCCTAAACTACACAGCAAGACCATAACTTACCCCCCCCCCACCCCCCAAAGAAAACCCCAAAGAGAAAACAGATTGACTGCCATATAATTCTGAAAATTTCATTTCTCGGGATTCTGGGTGTGTGTGTGTGTGTGTGTGTGTGTGTGTGTGTGTGTGTGTGTGTGTGTGTTTTGGACACACAGTCTTGCTTGTAATTGAGGCTGGCTTTGAATTCACTATGTAGCTCAGTCTAATATATTTTTAGTAAATATAACTTTCCAGCTTACCTTATGGCTTCTGAATCAATGTGCACAGGTGCAATTCTTTCCAACAGAAATTTGACCATCTCTAGGAAAGGATTTGTTGGTTGCTTAGGATTAGCAAGTTTCCGAGCTATTTCTCTCTACAGAAAGGAAAGAATTTTGAACATAGGTATGATTTTCATGTTTTCTAAATAAAAATGATTGTAGCCATAAATTTAGACCTGACTAAAGTTTATTCACTCACTAAGCAATCACTACAAAATACAGATAGTGGAGAATAGAAAGGGATAAAGTGATTTCTGTGAATTTTGCATTTGCCTCATAATTCTCCCAATAGTTGTTTGTTTTTTTTTAAAGTCTCTCTCTGTGTGTGTGTGTGTGTGTGTGTGTGTGTGTGTGTGGCCAGCTCAGCCCACCAGGGGGCGGCGCTGGCTGGCATGTGGTGCTGGGGGATTGAACCTCGGTCCCCGTGCTTCGCCAAGCTTGTTCTGAGTAGGTGCTTTAGACCACTGAGCCATCTCACCAGCCCCTCCCAATAGTTGTTTGACATAACCACCTTTCCAAAAGCTTTACTTTGAAAAACAGAATAACAGTTTACACCATTTGTAGGTTTTTAAAAATTTAATTCATAATTTGATCTAATACAGTTCCTTTAGTTAATTGCTTTAAAAAGGGAATACACTCAGCCAGGTACTGTGGCACATACCCCAGTAATCCCAGCTACTTGGGAGGCTGAGGCAAGAGAATTATTTGGGACCAAGAGACTAAAACTAGTTGGGACAAACAGTAAAGTAGTGAGACCCAGTCTCAGAATAAATAGTGGGAGGAGAGTGGGTGGCAGAGACCAGAGAGGAGTTTGTGGAGATATTCTAAGTGAATGAATATTTGTAAAGTTTTGAAAGAACACCACTGTAGGACAAATTACAACCATACACTCCCCTATCATTTAATTTATAACTTGAACATAGAATTATTTCAGGCTGTGTCAAGGATCCAAATAGAAGTTTATCAATGATGAAACATGGTGGCTTTACATCAAATACTTCTAGGTGGAAGTTTCTGAAGATGAGTAATTATACAATACACTTTAATTAGGAATTTAAAATGTGCTGCGTGCTTGGAAAGAAATGAACTTTAAGAACAACATTTTCTGGTAGAATACTTGCTTAGAATGTCTGGATTCAACTGAGTACAGGGATGAAAGAAGGGAGGAAGGAGTGGGGAAGTACTTTTAACTGAATACTGTATTTCTGATGAGTGAATGTGCATTTTAGCTGAGGAGATAATACACACCAATCTTCCCTCTTCCCTCCTCTTTGTTTATTTAGTTTTTGAGATGGGGGTCTTAAGTTGTCAAGGCTGGCCTGAAACCTGAGATCCTCTTGCCCCAGTGTCTCAAATACTTATGTTTACAGGCACATAAGATGCCAATCAGTCAGATAATGTACATTATATGTGTTTACTAAACTACAATGCACCAACAAATGTTAACCCTCCATTTATAAGATATTTTTTTCATTAAAGCCATATGTACTATATAAAACAAAACAGAAAAACAATTTTTATTGTTAACATCTTAATATAATTACCCAATGGATTGAGATCCTGAGGAAAATTAATCATTAGGAGGCCTGTTTTATTTTATCATGCTGTAGCTAACTGAGCAAGAAGTTAAGATTTGAAAAATAAAAATAAGGGTCGGCTAGATAGCTCAGGGGACTAAAGCACTTGCTTAGGCCGAGCAAAGCGGCCAGGGTACGATCCCCTATGTGCCTGGCTGGTCCTGCCCCCAGGAAGCGCTGAGATTGTGATGGAGACTGGGCAGGGTGGCACACATATGTAATCCCAGTGCTTGGGAGGCTGAAAACAGAAGAATCACTATGAGTTCAATCTACATAGTGAGACCCTACAGACCCTGTACTATTTAAATACTAATATGAATAAACAAACTCTATTCAATGTTTAGGCCTTATATATTTTGTGCTAAATTTATATTTTAAACCCAAACTTTAATACTGTGCAATTGTTTGAACTTAGTCTCATTTGGTGAGGTACTCCTCAAAGGGTATTTTTCCCCTACCATAAAATTTGGTTCCTTTTTTTTACCTGAGGTAAATATGTCAGAGATTATCTAACAAAAAAAAAAAAAAAAAAAAAAAAAAAAAATGGAAAATTGCTAGGCAAACTTAAAATAACATAATAATAAATGGAAAAACTAAGCATTAGAAAAGACATTTATAAATACATGTAACACTAAAGGAAGTATATAAATCTATTTATAAATACTACAAATTTTATTTATTTACTTTATTTATGGAACTGGGGATTAAACTGAGGCCCTTCTTACTCTACCAAGCTATCTCCCTGGCCATAGAAACTTTAAATTAATTTTAACAGCCAACACACAGCTCCAACACAGAAATTGAGATAAAAAAAAAAAAACTGAAAAAGTTGAGAAAACTTCATCCAAAAATAACCATATATAATCCTTTTATGAAACAACAATAAGCAGAAAGATTCTTTTTTTTGAGATGAGTCTTGCTATGCAGTTGGGGCTACCCATGAGCTTGCAGAGATTCTTCTGCACAGCTTCCCAAGTGCTGGGACTATAGGCATGCACCATCATGACCAGCAGTTCCAGAAAGGTTTTTTAAAAAAAGTTCTGAATCCTTAACAACGTTTCAGAAATTTCTGACCAAATTTATGCTAACATCATAGACTAAGGTTACTACTACGAGTATTTAATAGTTAATCTGTTTTAAAAATTAAGCTTATTTTTTGAGACCATATCTTGCTATGCATTTCAGTCTGTTCCTGAACCCACTATTTAGCCCAGACTGAACTTTTAACTCTCAGCAATCTTCCTGCCTCAGCCTCCTGAGTGCTGGAATTATAGCACACCCCACAACAGCCTGCAAAACTAGGCATACTTAAAATTAAACTGTGTTTACTCTTTCATGTGCATAGTAGCCCTTGCCATACCCTTTTTAATGTCTTGTTTTCAAAGCCAAGCAATTCCACAGCCAACCAGCTAGTTCAGCGGACTAAAGCACCTGTGTAGGCACAGTGCAGTGGCTGGGGTTTGATCCCCGGCCTCCTGGCCAGCCAGCCCTACCCCAGGGGTGTACTTAGAAGGTGATTGATTGAGACTGAGCATTGTGGTGTGCGCTTGTAATCTCAGGGCTTAGGAGGCTGAAAACAGGAGAATCACTATCAGTCCGAGCTACATAATGAGGCACTGTACCAAATACCAAAAAAAAAAAAAAAAAAAAAAAAAGGAGGTCAAACAATTCCCGAGGGAGGTTAGTGTTTCTAGGAGGTGTAACTGCTAATATACAGCAACAAGTTCTAAATCTCAAGACTTTAAAAAATTCCTATTTCTTTTGGTACAGTGTAGACTCGTAGTGGTCTCCTGTCTCAGCTTCCCCAGTGCTGGGATTACAGGCATGTGCCATCAGGCCTGGTTTTGGTGGCTGGAATGGCATGCAGTACTGGGGATCAAACCCAGGTCCATGTTCTTGCCAGGCAGGTGCTTAGGCTGCTGAGGTATCATCCCAGCCTTGAATCTCAGACTTTTAAATATAACTTCTAAACACAACATAGTTTTTTTTTTATTTCAACAGTATCTCATCTGCTATGCATTTTTCTAAGCTAGAAATGTAGTTGCCATTTTCAATAGTCATCAAACTCCTACTTAACCTTTAGGATTTAAATCAGGAGTCACTTAGTAGACAACAAGCCATTCCTCACCCATTAACATCCCTGCCTGGGATGACTGGTGCTCACTGTGTCATCAAAGCACATGATTCTATAGCCACACATAAGATTGTTTCCTGAAATATTTACCTGTCTCTGTCATGTTATATGTAAGCAAGATGAGCAACTACATACACTACATTATAACAGCCTAAGCTTAGGGATAAGTTATAGCTCAATGGTAGAATACTTGCAAGTATGTATAAGGCCCTGGGTTCCACACTCCCTTAATCACAAAATGAAACAAAAAAATGAACAGTATAAATTTGATTAAGGGACAAACTAACATTCAGACTTCTAGAGGGTGGGGCAGTGGCACAATGGATAATATTCAGACTTTAGAATATACATTGTGTATCTGGATAAACCTGAAGGGAAGGATTTTTTTAAAGTGAACTTGATGAATCACACATCTCAGAAGGATTTTGAGCATCTGTTAAAATATGTAAATCGGGCTGGGGAGATAGCTTAGCAGTCCAAGCACCTGCCAGCAAGGACCTGGGTTCAATCCCCAGTACTACATGCTATGTTGGCCCTGGAACTGGGCGTACCATGCAGGCCACCAAAACTGGGTGTGGTGGCCTGTGCATGCCTGCAATCCCAGCACTGGGGAGGATGAGACAGGAGGATCACTATGAGTCGGAGCTGCACAGCAAGACCCTGTACCAAAAAAAAAATCAATAAATAAATTTAAAAAAATAATGCAGATCCTCACTCCCACTTTAATTTTATGGGTTCCTATTGCTCATTATGTATGTTGGAAATCACAAAAATGATTAGTTCTTTAAATCTATGGGGGGCAATGAAGGGGGCTTGAATTAATCATATGTGAAATGTCAAAGTATATTATGCTCTTGGAAATCCTAGAGGAATTGATGATATTTGTAGATGAAGAAAATGAGGCACAGCAATAATGAGTGACTTACTAAAGACCATGATGGTAGTGAACACAGAGCTCATAATTTAGATCTAAGCCTCAGGCTCATAAAATGCTGAATAAATGAACCTATCAAGTTTTCTTCTGAGCAAGTTTCAATGCTGTTAGTTCTCTTTAAGAATCCAAAAATAGAATGAAAACAAGCCTGTCTAGGAAATTTACCTGTCTACAAATGAAATCACATATATGACATTTCTAATGCTCATTTATGGAGAGGTTATTCCCCTTGTAAGATAGAGAAGTAAATGTATACAGATACAACATTTAGAATCTAACAGCATTCTTCACTAAATGTCTGCTAACTATGTAGTACCTTAGCTCACTCAATTCCTGAGGTCACTTTCTCTGGCTTACATCTCTAATGTTTTCCCTGGACTGTGACTGAAAGTAGGGACTCAAAAACAAGAACTAAATTGACTACATATGTACTGCCAGGTAATTCAGTGCTTACAATAATGTTAAATTCACAAAAATCACTGTAAATAAAAAGGTTTTAAGAAAATAAGGATTTATATAAATACGCTAGAAGAACAACCATGAAAATATAAACTACTAACCACACAAACATCTGCCTGTTTGCATGAACAGGTAGGGCTGATTAATAACTCCAACTGAGACCGAAGCTTCTCATCATCACCAAGAACCTGGTTAAATTTCTTCACAAAATCTTGTGCTTTGCCAGGATCAGGCAAGTTTTCTATAAAATGAAGAGTGAATCAATACCAAGAAAGAGAACTACTAAAGTAAAAACCCAATGTCCTAAAATTACAAAGCTATTAAAAAAGGTAACAACTTAGAAATAATATTAAGATAAGGATTATTTTTCTTAGCAATGGGCCAGTAATGGTCTCTTGATGTTTATCACACTTACTGGGTGAATGAACATACTCACTTGCTATGGTCATCAGCTTTCCAAACATGGCAGAACAGTTAGCCTCTGACTGAAATTTAAAAAGAAAAAAAAAAAAAAAAAGAGATAAGAGAGAAAGAAAGAAAGAGAAGTCATATACACTAAAAATACACCGTTAAGAAAAAAACAACACGTAGCATCATACATATTCCACAATTCATCACAATTTACCCACTGGAAAATGGCTTACCACATCTACACAGAAAGCTGACAGCAAAGAACTGTGGAGAAGCAACAGTGGTTAAGACAAATAGAAAAGAGACTTTAAAAAAAGTAAGGCTCTGAGCCAGGAGTTCAGAGCCAGTCTAAAAAACATATTCTCTCTTAAAGAATGAGAATACTCTCAAGATCTCTTCAAAAACTATTTTTAAAAAATTTTTGAGCTTAAAAATAAAAAACTATTTTTCTTTCCATCAACACAAAAAAATCAAATTTTTGTTACCTTAAATTTATACTAAATTGGAATTCATTAAATGGATAAGAAGTTGGTATCCCCAATCCCCAAGTTGATCTCGATGGGTAGCTTCATTTTGTTAATACACACCCATGAATTTACACACTATGTGACCGCTTTTGTGTATCAAGGCAGAGATGAAAACCTAAGCAAGACTCTATAGGTGGCTATATTGTATTAGCTGGCCGTTAACAAAAAGTTTTCCAGCCTCTTCTCCAGCATCTATGTGCCTTTACAGGGTTTGCTTATAGTCTCCTGCATCAAGATACTATACTAGCAAACACACTGAAACATCAATGAAGAAATCCTAGCTACTTGGGAGGTTAATTGTGGGAAAATCAGAAGCTTGATGTCAACCTGTGCAACACAGGGACACCCCATGTCAAACAAAACCCCCAACCCAAGCCCAAAATGGCCATTAAAATAATTTAAGGGTTTTGTCTTTTAGAAAATTTGAGCAAAAAATTTATTAATTTGACATTGGTATCATAGTACTGATAGTATCAACCCTACACTGAAGGAACAAGAACAATACACTCTAAAATTAAGACTTCTAACCTTGTGGGATGGTGCATGCCCACAATACCAGACCAGGGCAGGCTAACTGTTGGGAGATCAAAGCCAGCCTGCATAGCGAGATTGTCTCAAAAGGGGGTTGGGGGGAGAAGTGTAACTAATATAACTTTATCTTGATGTTTGAGTCTACATATTAAAATAATTTTAAACCAGACAGGGCTGGGGGATTGCTGAGTGGCAGAGTGCATGCTTAGCATGTAAACGGACCTAGGTCCAACCTCCAAAATAAAAAATTTACACTTGATAAGCAAGAAATTATAATTTCTTTGTCCATGTCAGAAAATAATTTTGTTATATTGATTTAGAATGACAATTTAAAAAGGAGGAGGAGGAACAAGAATGTAGCTTGGACAATTACAAAAATTAGTTTATGTGAAAAATAAATGAGATTCTTCTTCTTTAAATACTACTACAGAAAAGAAAAAAAGCTGTAATTCACAAATAAGTTTATCAATTTAAATAAATCATGAACCTACCGTAGGCTGCTTGTGCAAATCCAGTAACTCGCGAACATGACTCCGAAGCATATTCTGACACTTCCACATTTCATTGAGAGCTCTAAAATTTATGATTATGAAAACATGCATTATTTAATAATACTGCAAATTATTTAACTTTACAACTTTTTATACTACATACTTTTTTTGCATCTACATAACATTTAAGCACCAATTTAGCTATTGGTATTTAAGACTTCTGGTGTAAATGGCAAATGACGATTCCAAGGGCTCATATATGCTAAGGCAAGTGCTCTACCATTAAAAAGAAATATGTACCTGAGTTCAGAATAATCAATACCTCTTTCCAAGTAAATAAAGAAATGGAAAGATATTTGAAACAGAGCTAGAAAATACTAGATCAGGAAATGCTCAAGTGCTTAAGAGGATGACACACAGGAAACTGCAAACCGTGTCTATGCTTCAACATGCATGAAGTATGGGAGCACAGTGCAGGTGGAAACGAGAACATGAGAAAGGCGTTCTACATGTGGCTATGGAAGCTATGAAACAGACTTACATTGATTGTTTATAGTAACTTTTTCTTCATAAAAGACAATGGTCTCTCAAGGTACCTAATACATGTCTGAGAATTACCCTACTTCTGAGTATCTTTGGCCAGGTATTTACAAATGCAAGAAAATGTTAAAACCTTCGTGTAGGATTTTTTTTTTTTTTTTTTTTGGCAGAACCGGGGATTGAACTCAGTCCCTTGCGCTTGCCAGGGAAGCGCTTATTCACTGAGCCATCTCCCCAGCCCAAACACCCAATTCCTTTTTTTTTTTTTTTTTGGCAGAACCGGGGATTGAACTCAGTCCCTTGCGCTTGCCAGGGAAGCGCTTATTCACTGAGCCATCTCCCCAGCCCAAACACCCAATTCCTTTTTTTTTTTTTTTTTTGTTAGTCCGGGGATTGAACTCAGGACCCTGCACTTGCCAGGCAAGCACTTATTCTACTGAGCTATTATCCTGGCTAGGGTTTCTTACTGGGCATGATTAATGACTATGTGGTAAACTTTTTAATAATTTTTACTTTTTAAATTTTATTTGGTACAAGGTCTCACTACATGGCTTGGACTTTTAGTGATCCTCCTGTCTCAGCCTCCCCAGCACTGGGATTACAGGCATGCACCACCACACCTGATTTCGGTAGCCAACTCAGTAGGGGGCTGGCATGGCACACAGTACTGGGTACAGAACCTGGGTCCTTAACGCTTTCCAGGCAGGCATTTAGACCACTGAGCTATTTCCCCAGCCCTGGTAAATCTTTTAAAAGAATGATCGTTAATGTGACATGATACAGGATATACTACCTCGCCAGAATTTCTTTAAAAATACATTATCTTGGTCTAATAATGAAACATTGGAAGAGACAAAAATAAGGCCATATTATACAAAATAGTTGATAGATACAATATCCTTCCAAAAAATATCAAAGCCATAAAAAAACAAAGATTAAGCAATGGTTTCAGATTAAGTGACCAGAGATACAATTAAATACGTAACATGTAATCCTAAATGGGGGAAAATATTTATTGAGGATGTTATCTAGACAGCTGAGAAAACAATGAGGGCTGGCCAGATAGCTCAATAGATTAAAGCGCCTGCATAGGCAGAAGCAGGGACCCAGTTCAATATCTGGTGTACCCTGCCTGCCCTGCCCCTGTGCACGCTGAGATAGCTTTAATTTTGAAATTCTGTGAAAACTTATGTTTTATACACCTATAGTTATGTTTAACATATATGTCTGTATATGTATACATAAAGCTTAAGTCCTAACTGAAAGAATTCAAAATTCTTATTGACAGATTAATTTGTGTTTAATTGATAAATATAAATTGCTTATGTCTGGGTATATAACATGATTGTAACACACACATGACATTTTTTAAAAGCTCATTTAAGTACAGTGATCATACAACCTGCTTGAATTAGCGTACTTTCAGTGTATGCTGGTTATCCAAGCAAAATATTTGTAGTTCCCCTACAAATTTTTGTTGAGTCTCAAAAATTCTCTTTGGACAATAAGTCAGTCATGGGGTAAACCTACACAGAGGTAAAATAGGACTTCCAGACAAAGAACCAATAGTCATTTTTTAGGCTTAGTTCTTACTCTAGAAGGATAAAGGCCAGTAGTATAACTTATATTTTAGATATCAGGAATCGAACTCAGGGCCTCGTGCTTACCAGGTAGGTGCTATGCCACAGAGCTACATCCCTGGTCCCACTAGTGCAATTTAAACATTAATTATACAGTAACTGGACACAGGGACTTTTGAATCTCTGAAACCATATCACCAAACCAAGTGCCAAATAAGTCTGTATATACAGGAATATCTTTGCTGTTAATAGATCTGAATTCAAACAATTTTTTCCCCTTATTTACCTGAGATATTTGATTCAGAAGAAGCATCCACAACTAACTAGATAAGATCAAGTATTTTGCTGAAATCTTTAGGAAATAACTCAGTCATTTCAACATTTTAACTTACTTTACAGCGTTTGGATCCAAACTAGCATATAAGTAATACAAACATTTCATTCTCTCTTCTGTTTCCAGGTTGTGAGGAACAAGATACTGAGCAAAGATTTTCTCCACCAACAGCCTATTAAAAAAAAAAAAAAAAGAAACCCAATAATTATTTTACTTTGAAGAAACAAGTCACTTAAATCGTTGTGCAAAGATACTGTATCGATAGTGACAGTTACACCTCCAAAGGAAAACACCAGCATATGATCAGCCTTGGAAGATCAACATTAGTTATTTTTAAATTTAGAGATATATTTTCTCCTTGTGGGTTTATTTCATTATGCCATGAAACACTGAGGCCATTCCAACTTTTCTTTATTAGTCTGGGAACTTAGCACAATTAGCTAACCCTACATATCCTGTGAAATTACAATTCTAAATATAGCTAATTCTCAAGAAACTCAATAACTTCTGGTAATAGTTCAACCTTTACCAAGTTGCCATGTAGTGAAAATAGGAGGGTTTTCCTTCATACTACTTCCTGGAAACATGCACATTTGATTTTCTCTTTAGTGTCTAACTTCCTCACCAATATCAAATCCTTGCTAAGATTTCATCTATTATTCAGTATTATTGGAATAATAAAAAAAAGCTTTTTGTTAACTAACAAAGGATAGTTGGTCAAGCAACCACTCTAATGTAATAAAACACTGCAAAGTATGTTATACAAACCAAGTATACTTAGTGTAATACAGAACCATAATTGTAAGTAACATTAAGAAAATGGAAAGAACTCAATAATTTCTCCTTTGGTTGTGATGACACTGCAAAAAAAAAAAAAATTAATAACCTGGCATTATCCAATACTGCTGATCGCAGACAGAAGACGAGAATGTCATACATTTATTAGTTTATGTAATCCAGAAGATAATCCCTTAGGGAGGGCATGATTATTCCTTTTCATGTAAAACTGAGGTACACAGAAGTGGAATTATCAGACATACACTAAATAATGAATGCCTCGTCTAATTCCAAAGTCCATGCCTATCTCACTATTTGCTACCTTATATTTTGGATAGTCTTGGATAAAAGAAGGTATATACAAATATTTAAGTGATTGCTAAATTTAGAAGTAAATTATTTTACAACAACAGAAAAGCTTTACCTTCACCCTTTCTACAACACATTATACTTACTTGTCATCAATGCTATTCTGATAATAAATATGCAAAAGTTTGTCCTTTATCCAGCTGACTTTCTCTGCAGCTTCTTTTCCGGCTTCACCATGAAGACAGTACTTCTTATACAATTGAGCCAAACCCATCATAGCTTCTTTTCGTACTCGCCACTGAAAAGTACAAAAAAAAAGTACCACATTTATTAGATGTATATTTATCTGTAAAAACTGGCATGGCTTTACTAGGTTGTACAATCAATCTTACAAATGCAGGTAATATAGTAGTACAACATTTCATCGCAAAGTTTACCGACCAGTTTGCATTTGTTTATATTTAAAAACCACATTACTAACAAATACCAAATATTACCCATCAAAAAAATTTCTCAGATTACTCCAGAAATTTTCTAGTGCAGACACTTCATGAATTACCAATTTTTTCATTTCTCTCAAAGTCAAATAATACCTTAACATAGATTTCATTTCATTCTCTCTAAAAACATATTGGCCTAGTTTTAGAAGTGACTAAACAGAAAACACAAAACGTACTATTTGCTCTACAAACAAAAGCCCTAGGTTCTAGAATGTTTTAGTTCCCAAATATATCCCCTTTGATGTTAAATCCAGTATAAGAAAAACCAGTACTAAGACTTCCAAGGCTGCCAATTTGGAAAGGACTTTCGTGATCAACATATGTGAATTTCTTTACTTTGCAGATACAAAAAGCAAATAATTTACTTAAAAATCTATCAGTGCAAAACAGTTGGACTTTTTTTTTTTTTTTTTTTTTTTTTTTTGGCGGAACCAGGGATTGAACTCAGGCCCTTGTGCTTGCCAGGCAAGTGCTTATTCTACTGAGCCATCTCCCTGGCCCTGGACTTTTAGAGGTTGGTTGGGAGGAGTACTATGCTAGGGAAGGAAAGAATGATGGTAGGAGGAAGTTGGAACAGAAAAAAAAAACTTTGAAAATCTAGAGGGAAGACCATGATAAGATGTAAGAAAAATCAACATCTGAAGGCAGCATTTCCTAATACATTTCATGAGTTATTTCTTATTCTAACTTACTCAGTAAATAGAATGAAACTATGTTTCTGTATAGCAGCTTAATAAGTGCCTTTTCACATTTCTCAATGAAATTTTAAGTGTGCAATAAGAACTGAGGTCAATTTCCCACACTTTGTATAGGAGAAAACAAATGTTAAAGCAGCTGTAACCTTTTTTTGGGCTGGCTCAGCCCACCCTGAGGGCAGGGCTGGCATGGTATGTGGTGCCAGGCATTGAACCACAGTCCCCTGCAGCTGCCTAAGCTATCTCTCTGGCCCCTGTGACCTTTTTTTTTTTTTTGCGGAACCGGGGATTGAACTCAGGCCCTTGCGCTTGCCAGGGAAGCGCTTATTCTACTGAGCCATCTTCCCGGTCCCGACCTAACTTATTTAGAACAAAGATCTAGATCTGAAAATGGTCCAGTTGGTGCTATGATAGCTGTGCTATTATAGTCATTCAACTCTTTGGAAAGTACAGAAACATTAACAAGGAGTGACATTTAGAAAAAGAGGAGGAAATAACATAAGTAACAATGAGTTAAGTGAGAGCAACAGGAGTAAAGCTGAAGAATCACTAAGTGGACATAACTTTATTTCATTTAAATTAAAGTGAAAGGTGATCAGAGAGGGAGATTTAGTTGACACAGCTGAACAAGTTACCTAGGATCAACATTTTTTTCCCTGTTTAAGTGAGGCAGAGTCTTGTACAGTACAGGCTGGCCTTGCACACACAATCCTCCCTGCTTCAGTCTTAGGAGAGCTGGGACCACAGGTACCCAGATCTCAGTGACAATCTCTTAAAAAAAATAAAATAAAATAAAATAAAATAGTTCCTTTAAGACTATTAAAAAAGTGAAAACCTAAACTATCTCTTGATGTATTCCAAAACCAGATGCTTTGCCAATCTGTAATTATATCTCAATTACACATAAGCAGAAGACAAAAGGTTTCAACAATGCCAAATAGAACAGTACATTACAGAGTAATTGTTTAAAATAGAAGATGCAGCATTTCCTAATACATTTCATGAGTTATTTCTTATTTCAGTGTGCCTTGCATGCCTGTCTCTTATTTCTGATTGACACCACTATTCCTTAGCAATTCCTATTATTGTTTTTAGCATTATTTTCTGAGCAGGTTTCTAATTACAACAAATGGAGGACACTGGAAAAAAAGTAATTAAACATAATTTCTACCAGGAGGTTAGCACATAATAATTTCTACTGGGAGAGTAGCATGACACATAGAAACATTATTTCTTTAGAAGTATGCTATTTAGTTTAATGAATAACAGAACTACATTATATGAGAGTAATAGACGAAAATGTTAACTCTAAGAATTAAATACAGACAACTATTTTCAGCAAACTTAGCAGGTGTGTGAAAAGATAGTGTAAAAATTGGTTTAATTTACTGTTCTTTTACAATGGGATGCTATAAAACCCATGCCTAAAATCTAAAAAGATCTAAAAAGATGTAATGTGAGACATACTAATCAACAGCTCTTTATTTAGGATTGTTAATCTGATTGTCTCAGGGAAAAGCGTTAGCTAGTATTCTAGAATTATTTTAAAAATCATATTGATTATATTTAACAAACAATGTAAACACAATAAATTAGAAAACAACAAAATTCCCTATATTTTACCCGTTTATCCAGTGTTCTTTCCCTTACAAAACCAAGGAGCTGATCATTTACTAAGGCAAGGTCTCTTTTGGCAGCTGTTATTATAGTAACAATGACATCATGACGAATAGCTTCTTCTGGGTCATGTGATCTAACCTTCAAATATTCTGTAATAAGAAAGAAACCCTTAAACATTATTTATCTAATTTGTCATGATTCACAATGACACAAAAGACCAATGCTTTAAGCTTTTATCCATGCTGAAACATGGCTTGTAAAGTGTGGCATGAAATAAAGATAATAATAGATCATGATATATTTATATACACATAAATTAATTAATTAATTAATTAATTGAGACAGGATCTCTAGCTCAGGCTGGGCAAAAACTCTAAGTGATCTTCCTGCATGAGGCTCCTGAGAGCTAGGATTATAGGCCTACGACTAAAGGCACAATGAATGAAAATCATTTTCAAGGTAACAATATTTCATAATACTCACAAAACAGTTTATCACCATAAAGCACTATCTTTTTTTTTTTTTTTTGCAGAACAGGGAATTGAACTCAGGCCCTTGTGCTTGCTAGGGAAGAGCTTATTCCACTGAGCCATCTCCCTGACCTATTTTTCTTTCTTTTTAAGACAGGCTTTGACCAGGCAGTTCAAGCTGGCCTTGAACTTACTTTGTAGCCCTGGGGGACCTCAAACTTGCAAAACTCTTCCAATCTTGGTCTTGCTCCTGCCTCAGCCCCTGAAGTGCTGGGATTATAGGTGTGCACCACCACATCCAGCTATATGCCACCTTTTAACCATGTGTTTTAGTGTAAAAGCTGAATCACAACATAGTATCTTACACAGATTAGGATTTCAGATAAAAGACTTCAAAAAATAGCAAAAATTCTGTTAGGTATACATCTATACCATTACATGATATAAAATCTAGATTAATATTATATAATCTTTCTTTAAAACAGAATTCCTAAATTGGAAGCCCAGCACTCAAGTGGCTGACACAAGACTATCATAGCAAGTTCGAGAACAGCCTGGATTGCATAGTGAACTCAAGGCCATCCTAAGCTGTACAGCAAGACCCTGCTTCAAATAGACCCCCCCAAAAATTTAATTTTTACCACATAACAAAAATAAAAGTCCTTTTACAATGTAAGTAAATGAATTACATTTCTTTTTTTTTACATTTTTAGTAAATAACATTTTGATTGCAGTCATTTACTTGATACTATCAAATGGGTAGGTTTAAATATTCTAGGTTCACGTCGTAAATGAAAAATGTACTCCAGAAGACAATAGATTTCCTATTATTAAGTCACTACATTATATAGATATAATTGTGCACAAACCCAACATTATAAATAACACTGCAGTTTCTCAGACTTGAACATCTAAAAAATTGCAAAGAATCAAAACATGAAAACTTCAAAAATACTTTCATTTTAAGAACATGAAATAATTTCCTATACTATAAAAAACAGAAATCTGAAATGGTGCCAGAATTAAAATCTATTCAGAAAGTGAACCTAGTTAACAGGTACAATTTAAATGTATTTGTGTGGTTACTCTAATTTGAATAAACCAGGTAGCTTACCTGTGAGATCCTTTGCTAAATCTGGGTGATTCATTAAACAGTGACTGGCAAATTTCACACTTTCTAATCTGACAGGAACGTGAATGTCATTGAATCTACACAGAAAATGATTGCTAATGATTAATTTTAAGGCAAAATACTCATTTTCAAATAAAGTATATATAACAGGTGCTTATAAACTTCTGACTAGAAAATGCATTATAACAGCTTACTGTGTTCTGATGGAAGAACAGGGGGCCTGCCCCTTAGCTCAGTTCTTTAAGTGGCTACTTAAACAAAGCAGTCAGGCTCAGGTTGCTGAGGTTCCATCCCTACAACTCAAGCCAGCCAAACCTGCCCTGAAGGCATTCTAAATTAGCAAAAAAAAAAAAAAAAAAAAAAAAAAAATCCTTCTGATGGAAGAACATATAACATACAATAAGTGAAAAGATACAGAATTTTACAGAAAATTTTGGAAAAATAGAAACTATCCTGCTAAAGCAAAAAACAATACAAATCTATCTTCCAATTCAAACTACCCATGTTATAGACCTAAAATTTGATGTTAAGTATGTAACAAAGCCGGGTAGTGTGAGGCATGCCTATAATTTCAACCCTTGGGAGGCTGAGACAGGAGGATCACTCCAAAGCCAGCCTGGGTTACCACCTGGCACTCTGCCTTGGAGCCAGCTGATTATGAACTGAAACCTCCACAAACTCAGCTTATTAAATAAAGCTTTCCTTCCTTAATTTTGAGTGTCAGATATTTTGTCCAAGCAATGACAGAAAAGTAACCAAGACAGGAATGTAGCTCAGCAGTAGAGTGATTACCTACTCTTAAGAGTTAAATGGATAAATAATCTTTAATTAAAAAAACTTGTCCTACAATTCATTCTACAAGAAAAACTGCAACACAGATGCTAGGAAACCAACAAATACTGAACAAAAAATTTCAGTACAATGTTTGAATCTGTTGAAACCTATTTGACCCTCCAAAATACAGAAGTACAAATTTCATTTCTCTTACCGTCCAAGAAAACACTGCCAAAGAGGTCGATTCTGCGTTGCCAAATCAGAATCTTTAGAGCCAAACAATTTAGCTAGAAGTCGAACTACAGCTAATCGTTCTTCTCCATCATTGCTCTACAAGGGGAAGAGAAAACAAATGGAAGCTTGAGCTTTACTATCAGATTACCAAAAAATGAAATATCAAGATCCAGTCTCATGGCTACTAAAAATAGTGAGAATTTTAAAATATGGTTATCACTTACTATGAAAAAATTTATTGCATTCCATGCAAGATCATTTTGTGCTCTGATCTTTTACCTTCCAAACTGCTAATTTATGCCTACTTCACTGCTTGCTGATTTTGTCCAAATTACAATTACTTCATTGAATTCTAACATTGTCTAAAGAAATGTTAGGGAAAAAAGTCTGTAAGGGATAAAGCTACAAACAATTGCAATTCTAACAACCTTTCTTTTGTAAGAAATCTATCCTCAAATTAAAGCTTCAACATTAACAGAGACTAATTAAGTTCTTGATATGAAAACTTTTAATCAGGGATCCCTGACTGACTACAGAATGATACTGAAGACTATCATGATTTAGAAAAATTCATTTGAAGCAAAGAGCAAGAATCATAAAAGGGGGGTTGGGGAGATGGCTCAGTAGGATAAGCGCTTGGCTGGCAAACGCAAGGATCTGAGTTCAATCCCCGGTTCCAACAAAAAAAAAAAAAAAAAAAAATAAAAAGCAGGTCCAATATGAGAACTTGTACTGTAACGTCATGTACCTCGGTAGTGTCCCAAATTTTCTGATCAAGGAGATGATGGGGCCAAAGAGCAAAGTGATCGATGACGTAGAGTGTGCCTAAGGAGAGTCACATTGGGAGAAGACACTCTCTCAGGCTTTCACAGAGAGCACATTGGCCAAGCAATGGCCGTGACTCATCCACATGGCTGCACTGACAAAGGTTCTACAATCTGAGGTACAGGATCTCAGGATAAATCCTGAGGGCATTTCACTGACCTTCTTAGACCAAAAAGCTACGACTCTTTTTGCACAGGTCCTGCTTTACCTTGGTCTTAACCATCCAGTAGAAAAGTATGAAGACGAAATATAGGAAATAAAGCCATGCTGTTAAGTTGAGCTGTGGGGGACTCAGGTCACTAATTTCTGACATTGCCAGTTAAACAGAAGACCCAACGCTATTATGGGCTACTGGACTCTTTTAGAATATTTTGCTGAGTTTACACACCTATAATATTCAATAACGGAACTTAGAAAAAATGGGGTATACCGATGAATGTCCATTTTGTATCTGTGTATTCAAAGTGGCTGGGATAGATATATAGTTGCCTTCTCTTAATGAATAGAATGATTTGTTCTAATGGTGTTTGTAAATAGGATCACAAGTCTGCATCTTGTACAGCAATTAACCACTAAGAAGAATACATGAAGTGTATTATTTGTTGAAACTGTACTTCCGATTTGATTTGAAACTGTCTCACTGCTATCTGTTTATCAATAAAACTTAAAAAAAAATAAAAAAAATAAAAGGCAGGTCCAAAAAAGATTAGTACTTTGGTTTAAATTTAAAATGTCCCCCAAGGAAAAACTAGGATGAGGAAAAGGACAAATGAAAGGGAAAAATAATTATATTTTAGGTATATAAACAGAATAGTTTGGATAATTGTATGGTCAATTTCTGCTGGTCTTTTAAAAGGAGCAGTTACAGTGCTTAATCTTTTTTTTTACTCTGGTATTTCTTCTTTTTCCTCTTTTTGAATTTCTTATAACTTCTTTTTTCATTGTTTTTTTCTTTAAATGAATCTTACACATTTATATCACATTTATACAAATGTATATTATACCATCATGTAGTACAGCAACCATTGTTGAATTCCTATTATTTTGTTTCGTGAAACAGCAGTGGTGAGTTTAGTGCTGTTAACCAAATGGGTCCTGGCTCGAGATGGGTTACTAGAGGTCCTCTCTTCTCTCAATTTGCTAGCTGTCATGAAGAGAGTAGCATCGTTCACTGACATGCCCCTGCATCATTGCTGCACTCAAGGCAGAAGACCATGTACTCAATATCCTGAACCATAAGGCAAATTAAACCTCTCCATCTTTAAATTGTAGCTATTACATATTAGAAGCCAGCAACGGGAAAGCTAATTCAGTCAGGTGAAATGACCACTACAAAAGAGCAAAACTTAGTGCCAGGCACTATGCTCAGGAGGCTGAGGCAAGAGGATTACGGCTGAGTCAGGAGGATTACTGAGAGTTTGAGATCAACCTGGGCTAAAACATCAGTTCAAGGCCAGCCTGAACTACATAATGAGACCCTGTCTCAAAACAAAAAAGCAAAAAAAAAAA